CTCCCATGGTGCTCTTTTAAAAACATGTTTTGTTCTTCTCCCTTGGTGGAATGAAACCCGTTTTGCCAGTGTCTGGAACTGGCAAAGTGAATCTTGGCTTGAATGAACAGATTTTCTTTGTTTCTGACGTTTCGGTTCACACCCGGAGCTGCTTAGGGGTGACTCCTGGCTCTGTTCTCAGGAATTACTCCTGGCAGTGCTCGGGGGACCATATGGGATGCTGGGGATTGAAGCCAAGTCAGTTGTGTGCAAAAACAAGTGCTCTATCTCCTGTACTATGGCTCCGACCCCACTGAGGATAACTTTTTTTTTTTTAAGTTTGGGCCACATCCAGTGATGCTCGGGGGTTATTCCTGGCTCATGCACTCAGGAATTACTCCTAGCAGTGCTCAGGGGACCATATGGGTTGCTGGGCATGGAACCCGGGTCGGCCCTGCGCAAGGCCAGCATCCTACTTGTGAACAGACTTTCTTCACAAATGTATGAAAGCTGCTTCAGCCACTTGGATGTGTTGTGTCGCTACCCTGAGGTTTCCATAAACATGACCCCTCTCTAGGAATGAGTGGACCTCCTCACTCCTCTGCAATTCCACTTTGATTTCACTGCTTCTGGCCACTGTGAATTGGTGCAGAGGGGCAGAGCGGGGTACCCGGAGAGATGGTTCAGGGGTTTAGAATCACCTTGAGTGCCGCCGGCTCTGATCCTGTCTATAGCGGTATAGCCCGGCCCCACCACGGCTGGCCCTGAGCATCCCCGCTGTGGCCTGGCTCCCCCCACACCCCCAGAAAGAACAAGGCCATTGCATTTTATCTTTGTCCTTTATAACCTCTTGATTGTTCTTATGACTGTTATCTGCATTGTGATTCTGTCTCCTTGCGGTCATGCGGAACCTGGTTCTCTGGATTTTCCCTAGTGAAATGGGCTGGTTTTACACCCGTGTACCCCGGAAAACATCGGAGAGATGGGACGTGGGAAGGTGGGGAACTTGGATTACTGCTCAGAGCTCTTCTCGCTGAGACTAGAATCCATCTGTCTGTGGATTCATGCACTATCTCTCCACCCTTGGGACACATAGAATCTCCATCTGAGTCACGGCCTTGTGATTTTTTTAAAATTAATTAATTAATTAATTGATTTGCTTTTTGGGTCACACCCGGCGATGCACAGGGGTTACTCCTGGCTCTGCACTCAGGAATTACTCCTGGCAGTGCTTGGGGGACCATATGGGATGCTGGGAATCGAACCCGGGTTGGCTGCGTGCAAGGCAAACGCCCTACCCGCTGTGCTGTCGCTCCAGCCCCAGGGCCTTGTGATTTTAGTCTGTCTTTGTGCATATGTATATATGTGTGTAGGTGTCTGTTCACATGTACCGTACACATTAATGTCTCTATTCCCGTGTGTCTAGGTGATGTGGAATATCATTGTCTATGTGTATATGTATATGTGTTGTCGTTGTGTATTTACAAATACCATATGTGTCCTTACATGGTACGCACATGTGTGTCTGTCTGTTTACATAGAACTTGGTTCGTGTGTGTCCGCTCTGTGTTCATCCTGTATGTACCATATTAGGGTCCCAATGCTTAGGGTGTAGGCTTCTTCTGAACAACATGTACAAAGACAGATGTGTTTTAGCTTGCGTCGGGCCTTGCCCAATGGGAGAGAAAGGTCAGCTGCTGGCACCGGGAAGGATTCGCCACTGGTCTGCAGGATGGTGGGAGAAGCTCCTCCTGGTATTGGACTGCCTCCTCTCCTGGGGAGCTTGTGGCCACCAGCCAGCCCGTCTCGTGGCAGGAGCTTGGACCCATCCGGCTTGGGGAGACCCTCCCGTATGGGTGGATGTGCTGGGAGCAGCGGGCACAGGAGCCGGGTGCTCACCTGGCCACTTCTTTGCCCAGATGTCCCCCAGGGCAGACAGGTGTGCTGTCCACCGTGCCCTGAACCTTTTTGACATAAACCAGCCAAGTGGGGGTGGGAGTGGGAGCCCTGCGGGTAAGGCCCTCGCTTTGCACGGGACTGACCCGGGTTCATTCCCTGGAACCCATATGGTCCCCCAATACCGCAGGAATCATTCCTGAGCACTGAGCCAGGAGTAATTTCTGTAAGCACTGCTGGGTGTGGCCCCAAAACCAGGAAGCAAAAGATTGAGGCCGGGGGGCTGGAGCGATAGATAGCATAGCGGGAAGGGCATTTGCCTTGCACACAGTTGACCCGGGTTCGATTGCCAGCATCCCGTAGGGTCCCCCAAGCACCGTCAAGGGTAATTCCTGAGTGCAGAGCCAGGAGTAACCCCTGAGCATCGCTGGGTGTGACCTAAAAATATATATATATGGTCCCCAGACGTCAATAGTGGGTCTAGGACACCTGCCCAGTGGTCATTCGCGTTCCGTGGCCAGCTCAGGAGGGACTGAAAGACAGTCCCTGCTGCTTTCACTTCTGGAACTTTCCACGTTGCTTCCAAGCAGTTTTTTCTGGGAGCCTAAACCTGCTTCTTAACTCTCTTCCCGTGGGCTGTCCGACATGCTCGCACATTCTGTGCATGATTCTCGAATGCCCTGTTGTCCGGGTGTGCCACACACCGCCCGCCCCGGGCCTGCCTCCCCCCATGGGTGCTGGCGTGGCGGGAGGCACAGTTGGGGGCGTGGCGGGCCCTCTGAGAGATGGGTGGCCTGACCCCGGGCTCCCCGTCTCCCGGGACTGGTTGGAACCAGCCCTGTGGTTCCTGTGGCAGCCACGGCCCTTGCTGAGGCTTTCATTTTTCTCCAGGAAAATCAAACGTGCCCTTTTTCCTGGCTCGTGGACGCCGTTGGATTGGTACTTTGGATTTCCCTGGTGGCTCATTCGCCTTTGCAGTAACTACCATTTGTCGCTGGCGGCCAGTTGCTATTTAAAAATAGACACTCCCCGGGCGCAGAGCCCCGTGACTGTATTCCAGCAAGTCGCCTGGTGTGTCTCTGCACCTCCCAGCCCTTTCAAATATATCTTTTCTCTGGTTGGATTCTGTCCCTTGTTTGATGTCTCACTAGTCGACAGAATGTAGAATTACAAGGGCCAAGGGGCTGGAGCGAGAGAACCGCAGGGAGGGTGTTTGCCTTGCAGGTTGCCAACCCGGGTTTGATCCTCCGCATCCCATAAGGTGCCCCGAGCTCTCCGGCGTGATTCCTGAGTGCTGAGTTAAAGGGTGACCCTGGAGGAAAGGGAGAAAAAAGAACTGTGGGGTCTAACCTCACCCCTGAATATTCCTCTAGAGGGGTCACTGCATCCAGCACCAAGACTCCCCTCTGCCCGTTCCCCCCGCCCATCAGCACTTTTCCACTAAGTCTAGGGGAGTCTGAGGCCATCCTAGAATTGTCGTTCACTTACAGACTGATTTCATGTAGCTTAATTACCTCCTGTCTGTCCTCTACAGTAGGAATTGATCTTTTCTCTTCTTTCAACAACAGCATAGAATTCCATCGCATCTAGAGCCCACCTCCCGTTGTTGTGCAGTGATGTCTTGGGAGGCGTTGAGATAGGCTGCATGTAAGACTTCCAGGGTACCCTCCATTCTTCATGAGACTTATGTGTTGGCTTTTTGGGGGTCTTTGTTTTGGTTTCATATAAAAGAAGGTATATAACGAAGGTCTAAAATGGATCAGTGGAGTCTGAACTGGGTTGCTTTCCCTTCTGCCCGAGCTTGGATGTGCTGGTCCTCCTCTGGTCCCCAGATCGAGCAGGGAGCCGGGACCCAGCCAGGGGTGCCGAGAGCACTGGGTCGATTTTAGAAATACTTGCTGGCCTGAGTCGGCAGCAGTATCGGAGCCAGCCCATGTACGTGCCTCTGCATGTAAGCGGCCTTTGGACTGGTATTTGGAATTTTAAGGAAGACAGACTGTCACACAAACAACCCAACTTTTCAAAAAATCTGAGACAGGATTTGCTTTTACAAAAGTCCCAGGAATGTTACCTATCCTGGCTCAGGGGGGTAGTGACCAAGGGTAGTTCTCAGAAATGTGGAAATGCATTCCGATCTCTGATCACATCGATAGGCTGGTGATGAACTGACATTACACAATGAGGAACCTGATTGTGAAGCTTTGAAATTCCCTGTCTCACCCCAGGTGCAGTGCTGCGTATGTGCTGACACAGAATTCCTTCCTGAAACTTAGCCTGGACTGGCATGCTTCTTACCGTTATTTTTATATATCAGTGCGAGAAACAGAGAAATAATCTGTCGCTTTGTGAATTCTTTGCTGCCCCACGATGGTTATTGCTTGAATTAACGTCTTTTAAAAACATCCAAGCGATAGCACAGCGGGTAGGGCGTTCGCCTTACAAGTGGCCAACATGGCCGACCCGAGTTCGATTCCTCCGCCCCTCTCGGAGAGCCCGGCAAGCTACCGAGAGTATTCGATATGCCAGACACAGTAACAACAAAGTCTCCAATGGAGACGTTACTGGGCCCGCTCGAGCAAATCGACGATCAACGGGAGGGAAGAAGAAGAAGGGGAAAAACATCCAAGAGTGTCAAAACGATTGCATCCTTTAGAATCTGATTAGGTGGTAGGCTAGAGGAGTCACGCCCAGGGGGCTCAGGGCTCATTTCTGGCTCTGCATTCAGGGTTCACTCCTGGTAGGGCTCTGGGGACCATATGGGATGCTGGGGATCAAATGCAGGTTGGCCGCTTGCAAGGTAAGTACTTACCTTGATAGGACTCGTCCTATCTTTCCGGCCTAGGAAATGATAAATTTGGGGCCAGAGCAATAGTACAGCAGGTTGGGTGTTTGCCTTGCATGCAGCGGAGCCTGGTTCCATTTCCCAGCATTGGAGTAATTCCTGAGTGCAGAGCCAGGGTTAACCCCTGAGTATTGTGGGTGTGGCCCCCCCACCCCCTCACCACCACCAAAAAAAATGATCATTCAGGATCATGTGCCGAAACTGTCTCGTGGGTAGAGTAACTTCTATGGGAATGATTTGCTGCTGATCGTCAAACCATTCAAACGCTTTCTTCCCCCTACAGGTTTTCACGTACAAGCAGAGCACAATTACTCATCAGAAGGTGACCGCTATGCACCCCATGAACGAAGAGGGCGTGGACGACATGGCCACGTTGACCGAGCTGCACGGGGGTTCCATCATGCACAACTTACACCAGCGATACAAGAGAAACCAGATCTACGTGAGTCCCGCCCCCCTGTCAATTCTGCCCCCCACCCCGCCACCACCACCCACCCCTTGTGTGCACAGGAACTCTCTGTTTGCTTGCCACGAGTATTTCCTGCCCCTTGACTATCTCTGGGTAAGGAAAACTCTCCTAAGGCTTTCGCCAGCTTGCCAACTTGTTTGAGGAAATCACATGTTTATGCTTATTGCTTTGGATTTAGGCAGTGGGGGGGAGGGGCAGGAATTTATGCCAAGGGTGATGGGGCCCTTCCGGGCTGTGTGTTCTGTTGCTACGTACATTAGGGAAAGAGGTCAGATGCTGTCCTTGGCCCTCCTCTGTGAGGAGCTGGCGGAGGATTTTGCAAACGACTGAGGCTGAGTTCAAGTATTTTCTGTCCGTGTCTCCGTCTTGCTTCTTTAAAGCGTTTTCACCGTTTCCCCGTCCAGGGTGGCATTTGTATTCTGGGGAGCACTTTTTCTTTGTGGAATGCTAATTGGTGTTTTGGGGTTTTGTTTGTTTGTTTGTTTTGCTTTTTGGGTCACACCCAGCAATGCCCAGGACTTACTCCTGGCTCCGCACTCAGGAATTACTCCTAGCGGTGCTTGGGGGACCATATGGGATGCCAGGGGTCCAACCTGGGGCAGCCGCGTGCAATGCAAACGCCCTACCCACTGTGCTATCGTTCCAGCCCCTGGTTGGTGGTTTTGAATGGTGACAGGTCACCCAAAAAAAGCTGGTAGACAGCTGGTAGCATTTCATTTTTTTTCTCTCAACTTTAATAACCCGTGATTTCTACAGTTTTGTAAGCTGGATATGACTGAATTAAACTTAACAGGCACTGCTAATAGAGTCTCTTTCGGGCATTGAAGTCTCGGTAGTGTCTGTAGTACAGTCAGGTGGGTTGGGCTGTCATCGTATCTCTTTTGCACCTGCCTGTTTGTCAGTCTTTATGAACTGGAGCAACCACTTGTGCAGGCTTAGTTTTGTATGTCAAGGTGTTTTCCTTGTGGCTCACACCTGGTAAGGCCCTGAGTGTGGGACTAAGGATACACAGCCAGCAGTACTTCTGGGGGAACTGGAGGAGCTGGGGGCCGAGTGTGGGCTTCCCAAACGCACAGCTGCCTCAAAACAAAAACATTTGCAGGAGAAGGGTTTGAACCACACCTGGCAGCGCTCAGGGCTCACTCCGGGCTCTGTGCCCAGGGCTCACTCACTCTCAGCTCTGTGCTCGGGACTCACTCCCAGGCTCTGTGCTCAGAGCTCACTCCTGGCTCTGTGCTCGGGGCTCATTCCCAGCTCTGTGCTCGGGGATCACTCCTGGCTCTGTGCTCAGGGCTCACTCCCCTCTCTGTGCTTGGAGCTCACTCCCGGCTCTGTGCTCAGGGCTCACTCCCGGCTCTGTGCTCGGGGTTCACTCCCACCTCTGTGCTCGGGGCACTCTCCTGGCATTGGTCAGGGGACCATATGGGATGCCAGAGATGGAACTGGGTTTGACCGCAGCAAAGCAAGTGCTTCCCCCATTTATACTATCTTTTTATCCCTCCAAACAAATCATCATACTGGAAATGCCGTGGCGAATTTTTTTCTGAATTTTGTCCCAGAAATCCATTTTACTTTACCCATGCATTTCTGATCCTGCCTTCATGAGGTTCCTGGAAGCCCCCAGTATTCTTTGGGGGTCTTTGGATCCACCGCTTTATCTAGCATTGAACCAAGAGGGAAGACAAAGATGGGAGAGATTTGTGAGGCTGAAACTTCTTTTCACTCAACTTCAAGGGAAGAAAAAAAAAATGTTTATTCGCCTTCTTTCTGCATTGAGGAAGTGTCATTTTTGCCAGATTGAACTGATGTGTGCCAAATGTTTCCCAACGGCCCCGGCCTCGAGAAATCAGATCATGCTGTCCCCTGACTGGCTGAGCCCGCTTACACCATGGCTTTCCAGTCAAATGGTTTCCGTATGTTCAGCAATAAAGGTAGGACTGGACGCCAGAGGTAACTGCAGAGGTCACTGCTGGCCAGGAAGCAGTCCTGTGTTCAGATCACGCCTGCCTGGAGGAGGCGGTCCACCTCCAAGTTCCAGCGTCTTGTGTCGTCCCCGAGATACCTACAGGCTGCAGGAACCTGCTTTGGGTTCCGAATTTTCATTTTTTTACGGTTTCAAGCCAGGTTACTTCCATCACACTCTTTTAGCTGACCTGGGCTTGTCTTGGTCGGAGAGTCACCGCCTGCCGGAGTGAGTATTCTTGCTTCAGGAGGCGAAACTGCCACGGAACTGTTTACAGAGCAGTTTCCTCGCCGGGCTTGCCAGAGACAGACTTTCGTCTTGCCGGGGCCAGGGATGTGACCAGGCGCCTGAGCATTGCGCAATCCGTGTTTGGAGAATGAATGCCATCCGTGTCAGGCAGAGCAGGGCCGCTGGCGGAGTGTGACGCAAGATGCCAAACGTCTTTGTGGGTGAAGTTGGTCGTGGGGGCGGGTGCACCAGGAGCCTGGCCGCTCTGGCTTCTGAGCTCATTCATGTCTTGGGATGCGTTTCCCAGAGCGGAGCAGAGAGGAAGGCAGTCCGGAGAGAGAAATGACCTCCGGACAGAAGATCCCCTCTGGGGGCTGAAGTGATTGCTTAGTGGGGAGGGCGTTTGCCTTGCACACAGCCAGCCCGGGTTCGATTCCCAGCATCCCATAGGGTCCCCCGAGCACCACCAGGAGTAATTCCTGAGTGCAGAGCCAGGAGTAGCCCCTGTGCATTGGCCAGGTGCGACCCACTATCCACTGCCCACTATCCTCCTCTTGTTCATCGATTTGCTCGAGTGGGCACCAGTAACGTGTCCATTGTGGAACTTATTGTTACTGTGTTTGGCATATCGAATACGTCACAGGGAGCTTGCCCTGCTCTGCCGTGCAGGCAAGATACTCTCGGTAGCTTGCTGGGCCCTCCGAGAGGGGCGGAGGAATCGAACTCGGGTCGGCCGAGTTGGCCGCACGCAAGGCAAACACCCTACTCGCTGTGCTATCACTGCATCCAGGTGTGACCCAGAAAGCAAAAAATAAATAAAAAGCAAAAAAATAAAAGAAGATGCCCTCTGCCAGGAGGTGGAGGAAAGCGAGGCCTTTTGCAGGTCCGCCCTTCTTCTCCAGAGGAGTCGGATAGAGGCTGATAGACAGAACTGCCCTCTCGGCCCCGCGATGGGATCTCGGTCTGGTGTCCCGGGATGAGGATGTTCTTCCGCCGTCTCCGGAGGGAACAGACTTTCTGCCCCTTCCTTTTCCAGTGCAGTTCATCACACTCTTCTCTGAGATGCAGGTTGCTGTGCAGTTGGCCAGAGCTCGTCCACGGGGGTCTGACTTGAAAGTGAACACTGCGCCCTCCTTCTTGTGCTGTCTGTGTCTGAGAGAGAGAGAGAGGGGGGGGGGGTATCACGCGCTTCCTGGGAGCACTTGGCACATGGCTTCTTCCTGATAAGTCCATGTTTCAGTCGTGACCTAAGAATCATAAACGGGGGCCGGGGGCAAGAGGACAGCGGGGAGGGTATTTGCCTTGCACATGACTCACCCAGGTTGGATCCCCGGCACCCCATAGGGTTCCCCGAGGAGTAATTCCTGAGTGCAGAGCCAGGAGTAAGCCCTGAGCATCGCCAGGTGTGACAAAAAAGAATTTAAATAAAGAATAATACACAGGGCTGGAGTGAGAGTGCAGCAGGGAGGGCATTTGCCATGCGCATGGCCAACCCAGGTTCGATACCTGCAGCCCATATAGTCCCCTGAGCTCCGCCAGGAGTGATCCCTGAGTGCAGAGCCAGGAGTGAGTCCTGAGCATCACCGGGGATGTCCCCCAAACCAAAATAATGATAACAACAGCAATAATAATAATGAGAGAGTATGAGAGTGTGTGTGGGAGAGCGGAAAGCGGTCCTGGACCGGGTTAGGGGCTGCCCCGTGGCGTCGGTGCCACTGAAGGGCGGGAGACAGGGCTGGAGAGCAGAGCCCCCTGCAGAGGGGGATGGGGGGCCACACCCAGTAAATGTGGGGGAGGGGTGGCTCTTCTGCCTGTGGAGTCCCGCGAGTGTTTGGGGAGGCAGACTGGGGGTGCAGGGTCCTCAATCAGGTGGTTCTGAGTGGGGGAGGGGTGTTTGGCAGGGTCAGGGCAGTGGGTTCTGTGCGTCACGGTGGAAACCTAAGACCCCATTAACCAGGTAGGTCCAGACTGGCCCCAAGGTCGGTCCATGGTGCCACGGTCCCCAGTGCAGCCGTCAGAGGCTGAGACCCAGTGACCTGGCGCTCAGCAGACTGGCCCGTCTTGGTTCACGCTGTTGGCACCAAGGCCATTCCTGCCCCAGACTGCATAGGAGCTCAGAGGGAAGCAGCATGGGGTGGGGGGCAGGAGAAAGAAGCTTGGGGAGGTCACCGAGGAGAGGAGGGGGCCAGGCCAGGAGCATGGAGGGGGACCCCCACAGTACCCTGACGACATGGTGTTCCAGAGGGGCCAGAGAGACCAGCTGGGTTCGGGAGGCCGTCCGATGTGTTCCCTGCTGCCTGGTACACTGTTGTGGATCCCTGAGTCCCGCGTGGACACGGGCAGCTGAGGGGGACCAGCCTGTCCCTTCCTGCCCAACACACACACACACACACACACACACACACACACACACACACACACGTGCTCTCTCTCTCTCTCTCTCTCTCACACACACACACACACACACACACACAGCCATGCTGGCAGCTACTGCTCCCCTCAGGGCACGTGAAAGGACCTTGTGACTCCAGGCTCAGGCCCGCCAGGGTCGTCTGCGGTGACCACGAGTCCCCAGGCCCAGGACAGGCGGCTCCAAACCACGTCACGGAGCTGCCTGCAGTGACGGGGGCCCGACTCCAGAGGAGGACGCCCTTTCTGCTTCCCCCAGCCCTGGGGTTCGTCTGTGGGTTTGGCCCAACACGCAGCGCCAAGATCCAGGTGGCGTGTCTGCAGGCGCGGGGCCGTGTCGAAAGGCAAACACTGAAGGCAGCACACCAATTGC